AAGCAAAGCAAAGCAAAGCAAAGCAAAGCAAAGCAAAGCAAAGCAAAGCAAAGCACGAGTTTGACTCCATTTCCCAGAGCTTCTCAGCTCTTTTTGTGTTTTATTTCCCAGATCTCCTCAGAAAACCCAGGTGCATCTGGGATCTGTGCGGACAGAAAGGCTACATAGCAGCAATCCAGTCTAAGGCCCCAGCCAGATGCCTGCTGTGGTTCGCCGGCAGCAGGTGTGGACGGCTGAGGTCTCTGACAGCGAGGACTCGGTTGAGGGGCCTGCATGTGAGGCAGGGATGGGGCCAGGAGTATTGGAGTGTGGGGTGCTGCCTTTGGAGCTTGTGGAGTCTGGCAGCAGTGTTGAAGAGGACCCTGGGGAGCCTATGCTCAGTGCGCATGCACACAGGGCTGCACGAAAGAAAGAGCAGATGAAGCAGCACGGGCAACTCGGGAGTAAGGCTGGAAGGTGATAGCCCCTCCCATAAAGGATAAAAGCCAGCCTTCAGGGTTGGCTTCTTTGCAAGAAGCAAAGAAGCCAACTTTATGCTCAGATTTCTCATCAAAGCCATGCTTACTCCGGTTTGTTTTTGGAAACTTCTGGCTTTTATTCTTGGCAGCCTTTTGCAACCTTGAAAGGACTTGCTCTTATCTGGGACAATTAGTTTTGAATGACTCTTAGCTGTGAATGCACAGAATTCACAGCGCTGCATTAAAAAGGTTTGCTTATATAAATACTCTGTGTTTGTTTTATTTGAACAAGCCTTGGGTCAGAACATTGCCTATTCCAAGCGGTGAGTAGGTTCCTACCAAACTGCCTAGCAGATCCTTGTAGAAAACCTGAGCTCTGTTTAAAACCCAGCTATGTTCCTCCACCCCAACATTTTCCAGATAAAAATGGGATGCTACTCAGTAGGATCTGATATAATATAGCGACTGGAAGGGTCCTTCTTTCGTTCCATTTCAATATTAGCAGAAATACATAAGAAAAAATGCAATAAAACTAACGGTAGTATTCCTCAGATGGTGCCACATCATCATCATCCTCTTTTTTTAAAAAAAAACAAATTTTATTAATTTCAAAAACAAACAAATCATCATCAACCATTACATACTTGAACCTTTTTCCATTATAAGTTTTACAAGTCAGATAAAACCTTATTTTATACAATATAATTCTATTTTAAGCCATTTCCATATGAGCATAAAAATACCTCTTATCCAATTTCTCTTTACTTCTCTTTACTCTTATTCAATTTCACTATTATTATTTCATCTATTTCTTTCTGACTTGGTTACCATTATTCTCATTCTGTATTTCTACAAGGTTTTATTAATTCTTCCAACAACATAAACACACAACAAACAAACATATAAAAAATCTTTTAGGAAAGTAACTTGGCTCCAGGTACCTCTCTTTATATGGGCTTCAATTATATTCATGCTCATCTTACATATCATTACCTATTTTGTTTACCATTCTATATCTTCTATATAAACTTCTCCACACATTTCACTCTTCATAATTCTATCTTATTTAATCCATCTTAATTTAAATCATTATATTTGTATCTTTTGCCCATTCTTTATTATCCCTCTGTCTCATTCCTTATAATAAAAAGAAAAAGAATCTCTCCTGAAATCACTACTCAGAGTATGATGCCTTTCTATCCTCCCCCTAAATTAATTAGATTAACATTTAAAATAACACCTAATACCCAATCTGATTCTGCTTGGTACATTCTATCTACTAATTTTTTTTTAAATAATAATAAAAACAGAGTAATAAATCCAAAATGATTGAATACATAGTTAAATAATAAATCTAAATATTAAATCTTATAGCTTTCCCATTGCCTTTTCAAAAAACAAATGCCACTATAATAGTTTTATAATAACATCAATACCATAGTCATATTAAACTCTTTAATTAAAACTCAATATTCTAAACATTCCCTTTAATATTTTATTAAATTTTAAAATCAATCATTATTAAACATTTGAACATTTTAATTTCTTATTAACTCTTAAGCCATTCTAATTTTCTATTTCTAATACAAGTGTTACAATACCATCTTATGTACCTTGCAAAATCTTTTTTAAAGAAATTGTACTTTACCCTTTATCCCTAAAAAAAATTCCTCTTTTCCCATCTAATTTCAAAACTTTGTGGCTTTTCTCCGCCTTTCCCCTTTCTTTCTTCCCCCACCAAATCTTCCTACCCCCCCTTCTTCTAGCCTCTGCCTTGCTAGCATCCCTTCTCTGTTGTGTTCCCTTTTTCTTTTGTTTACTATCATTATATTTATTTTGCATCTTATTTTTCTCTTTCTTGAACATTTTTTAAAATCTTAAGTCCTTCATTTTCCTCTCTTTCTTCCTTCCTTCTTTCTTAGTTAAATTTTGAAATTCATTAAAGATGGCTTCTTCGTCTTCTTCTTCTTGTTGTTCTTCTGCCTCGATCTGTTGTATTGTCTGTTGATAGTTAACCAGCGCCATTTCTAAAAAAAGGAAGGCTTTTTCCATATCATCTTTACCGTCTGTTTTTGTTTGCTCATATTCTTCCCTCAGATCCTCAAAAGGAAAAGCCATTATAAATCTTTTCTTTTCTTTTCTTTTTTCCCTCTTTCTTCTTACACCAACCAAGATATTTCAAGAAAAAGATAGAACAATCCCAAAGTCTTCAATCAATCCAAGCCAAGACAAAGTTCTCCCTTTCTCTTCCAGGGGTAGTATCAGACAAAAGAAAAAAGAAAATCCAAATCTGTATTTTAAAGCCTTATTGAAATTATATTTCTGTCTTCAAATCCTTAAGGCATCTCCTCCAACAACATCAGACCAAATGAATATCTTTTTTGTCCTCTCCCTTCCGACTTATCACATAAAGCTAGTTTTACCTGAAAAAAAAAACAGGTTTCTCAATATCCAATATCCGGGTTCAGCCGGCTGGGGAAGGGGTCTGCAACACCCCCAAACCCCTCTCCGGATCCCCCTATCTTCAGCTACCCCTGCAGGGCAGCCTAGCTCCGAACCCGTCCGGATCGGAGCACCAAAAATGGCTAACGCGGCAGGGATCGCAGAGAATCACAAATCCCTGCCGCTCGCGAAGCCGACAAACCGGAAGTTCCCATCATCATCCTCTTTTAATGACCCAATAATCCCATGCGGGATGGAGTCTGGCAACTGAATGTTTACTGGCCGGATGCCCTTCCTGTTGCCAATGCGGATTTTCCCCCCAGCAAATATATTCTCAGCATGCCCAGAGAGAGAAATATCTTCCTCTATCTAGGATCAAACTCACGGCCTCCTGATTGTGAGGTGAGAGCTCCACCTCTAGGCCACCGCACCACCTCAGATGGTGCTACATCTCTTTCCGAAAAAATAAATCAGTCTCCAAAGACCTTCTGCACCAATCAACTCTTCATAAATCTCCAGAAGGCCACAAGGGTCAGTCTTACAAATGGTTCTGTAGAAAGAGAGGCCCCTACAGAGAATATTCATTTCCAGGAGTACTTACACCAAATAAATTGGGAGCTTCAGCAGGCATTATAAGCCGTATAACTGTTTAGAGGTAATACTCAACATTTTGTATTATACACAGAAACAATGTATTGCTAGATGGGCATTGGGCAATCAAACCTCATGCTCCCAGCTACCAGAATGTAGGAAAATAAATCAGACACAAAATTCACATGCCATTTCTTTCTCTCTTTACAGGACACTGTTTCCGTTTTATGATCTGAAACTATGGTTAATGAATCTATATCAAGGAATTTTGAAGCAAATATTTTTTTTTTTTTTTTTTTTACAAATAGAGAATCTTATAGCAAAGCACAATGCTTTTTCCTCTTTACATTGGTCATCTTTTCTTCCATATATTTAGGAAAATATTCAAGGAGTGCTTTCCATTTTCTGCTCCGACTTCATCTCCCTAAGGAGCAGAATTTACATTGTTGGCATACTGCACAGACACTGTACAACGAATGCTTCATGCCTATCTGTTTTGAAATTAAACATTGAGGCAATCTCCTTGTAAAGATACTACAAATAGAAAATGATTGGTTTTTCAAATAGTTCAATTTTTGTTACAAAACTAGGTAATATTGTCCATAGATCTCCCTTCATCCTTGTTTTAGGCATCACACCCTTCTTACACTCAAGGTGCACCAAGATTTCCCAGGGTTCAAACCATTATTGCTTTAGGGAAGAATTTAAACTTGCTCCTTTCAAACTTATCTCGAAGTAAGTCACATTGATCCCAATGGATTTTCTTTCTGAGTAAATGGCCTAGATTTGTACTGCCAATAAAACAATGACTTTTGAGACCAAATGGATTGGAGGTGAGTAGTAAACAGCAGAATAATTTACAAGAAATTATTAGCAGTCTGTTCTGCTTAGAATTTCCAGCAGAAAAGTTATTTGTCCTGAGATACATATTACTAAGGGCAATGACTATAGTATATTTTTTGTTGGCAAGGCAAAACAATTTGCTTTTTGGCAAAGCAAAACAATTGGCAAAGCAAAACTGCCTTTCTTCATATATAAATCTTGAAAATAAATATCAAAAATAGTATTTCCAGTTCTATTTTGAAGGAATACAGTCACATTAAGATATAAAGAGTGGATTCTCACTTATCAGTGACTTTGCCAGCTCTTAAAAATAAGACAATGCAGAAAACATAGTCTAAAATTATTCAGATATGTGGATTGATGTGAAAATGGCAGCTCTCCAAATTTTGTAGCCTCTGGAACAAAACCATCTGACTTGGCACCTAAATTTTGGATGAAATTCTAACATTTGTTTCATTATCCACATATAATTCTGTTATTTTTTTAATGTGTCATTTTCTCAGCCAAAATAGCTTCCAAAGTAGTAACTCTCTATGCCCAATGCAAAATATAACACAGTGTTGAAAAGTGCTTATATGTATATTATATAAGTGAATTACAGTGGATATTGCTCATCTAACATCAGCCATAAAGTTTGCTATTTATAGGATTAATAAACATGGTAGGTAGCATCCAGCATATTTTTAAACAATTTTAGCAACAGTTCTTAAAAATCTGTAGGACTATCAGAATCCCAGTTAGACACTATGTTCTAAACATAGAAAGGGGAGAAGGATAATTATGGAATGTGGGTAAGATTTAAAGTAGATCATAGTGGTATACTAAAATAATACTTGGTTCAATTATATAGTTGAGTCATTTTAGACATGAGTAAATAGCTTTGTGCATCCTCCTTTTAGGTAATTTCACTGTCCAGCATGTAACAACTGTTGCATGCTTTAGAACAGGCGTGTCAAACTCAAGGCCCGGGGGCCAGATCTGGCCCGCAGGGTGCTCAGATTTCACCCGTGGGGCCACCCTTGAAACAGTGAAAGACCGGCCCATGGTGCCTCTGCTAGCAAAAATGGAGCTTGCAAGGGCCATTTGTGGCCCTCCCAAGCTCAGCTTTCACTGGCAGAAGTTGCAGGCCATCTCAGCTGAAAATAGAGCTCAAGCTCTATTGAGCTCTGAGCTCTGTTTTCACTGGCAGAGGGTTGCAGGAGGGCGTCCCAGCTAAAAACGGAGCTTGGGAGCCTGTTTTCGCTGGCAGAGTGCTTGGGCCACAGTTGCCCGGAAACATGAGTGATGTCATGCTGGCCACTCCCATCCTGGCCACGCCCACCATGCCCCCCCCCAAAGATCAAACACAACCATGATGTGGCCCTTAATGAAAACGAGTTTGACACCTCTGCTTTAGAACTACTTCAACATTTGTTGTATTAGAGAGAGAAAATATTGTACTCATTATAAATTTTGAATGTGCAAATTCTGAGCATGTGTTTTATTTCAGATGGAAGGAATGCTGAGGTGCCACATTATGCCTGAAAGTTGCACCTTTACTTGCCATTAACTATAACGGTTAACCTGTGCTTTAGATTTGAAAAGAAAAAGAGTGTTGGAGCACACACAAGCATATACATTGCTTCTCAAATCAAATGCATGTTTTCCTGAGAATATTCATTGAATTGGTTTCTATAGCTGCCCATTTCTATCCAGTTGACTGTTACACTAGACTAGTTAGATTTCAGTATGGCCTAATCCCTTATAGGATGTTATTGGATGTCCCTGAAGAAGATGGACGAAGAAATAGAAGAAGAAATTCTATACAAAAGTATCATTTGAAGTGCTGTCTTCACATTCCACCTGATTTATGGATTATTAATTGGCAACACTGGCAGAAAATTGGTTGAACAAAATATTTATAATGAGAAATACATATTGCTTTAGCCAAATATGATATGATGTGGCTAAGTAAGATGTACTCCATCAAATAAGGGATTCATATTGCATGTGGGATGGTTGTCTTTGCAAAATGGACTCCCCATACTTTCCAAAGTAGTCAGGGGTAAGGCTCAGGCTTTTAATCTATGATTCTCAGAGCATCTCTGCTGAAATTCAAGGCCAGAATGGCTGATGTTCAGCTACATAGTTTTAAATAGTCCTAAAATTTATCCCATGTCTTTTGTATCAATCTGCAGCATTTAAAGACTAAAATAATAACTTTTAGGTGGCATTTACCCCTGATGAGAATTGCAAGAATGTTCAAGAACAAATTGGATGAATGTTGAAAATGTTATCAGATACCTGGTTCATATTACCATATGTGGTGGACATGCTCGGATGCAAAAAGATATTGGATGAAAATCCACACATGGCTGGAAAAAATGACAAAACAACACATAGACTTTAAATCAGAGATATTTTTATTGGGAATTATACTGGAAATATATAATAAAGAATTGAAATATTTGATTGTTAATGTTTTAACAGCGGCTAGAATTGTATTTGTTAAGAATTGGAAAAATGAAAAAACACCTATGCAGGAGGAAGTTATTAAGAAAATTATGGATTGTGCTGAAATGAGTATATTGACATTTGAAATTAGAGAACAAGAAGATAAACAATTTTATAAGATATGGGATTTATTTTATCAATGATTAGACAAAAAGACATGGTAATGAAATATATTAGGAAATTTCATAATATAAGACTAGTAGAATGATATAGAATATAATATAAAAATATATAACCATTGGATGAATGCATAATATAAATTCATATAAATTTAGAATATTCTGTATAAAATGATGGTATAATAGTTTAGTCAAATGAATGATTAATAACTGATAATGTATAAATATATGTTGGATTGATAATGTGAGAATCTATACAAATTGTAAGTGAGGACTATGAAAGGATAGCACAAAAGATTTGTAACCAACTGATACACTGTACGTATATAACTGGAAAATGGTTTTATGTTTTTTATGTTTTGTTTGTGTTTTTGTTTCAAAAATATAAAAAATATTAAAAAATACTAAAATAATAACTTTGAAAATACAGATGCCAGGAGGAAGATGTTATCTGTATTTTTTTTTCTGAAAGAAATTGGTTTTTTCCATCTTTCCTTATCCCCAGATGTGAACTGCAAGACACTAGTAGGTTTAGGGAGGGTGACTTAATTTAGCTTCGCACCTTCATGGAAAATGTTGTCAGTTAATTTATTTAACCTTCGTTGTTTGTTCATGTTTGTGTGTTTTTACCTACAACAATGACTTCTATATATATAAAGTTATTCAGAGAGATGACTTATTAAAAACCAATTCTTTAATAAAGCTGCATGTTTCTTTTTAGCTTGGGAAAACTGAAGATATCAATGTTTGTGTCTTAGGTGATTGTGAAAACAAGAACAGAATATCAACCAGACCAGAAGAACAAAGGAAAACTTAGAGTGCCCAAAATTGCTGAATTCACAGTCAGTTTCACTGATGGTGTAACAGAGAGGTTAAAGGTAAGAAATGCAGAGGTTTGTCCAGTAAATGTCCAGTTTTCAATTGTCATAGAATAATTAATAGACAGCAGCTCTCCTATTCTGGCATACAACTCAAGATCACACGGAGTTAAGAATTCTTGGGTTGTAACATACAGTTTACCAATGCATGGTGATGCACATTAAAGATTGGATTAGATATATGACATGAAGAGGAAGAGGGATTCAGCCAGGCCCAGCCTAGCTCTGCCAAGCTTCTATTACCCATGCTATGAGAAACCTACAGTGATAGTCAGAATTCAGTTGGGGAATCAAACTTCTTGCCTTCATTATAACCATGATTTAAATGTTTCCTTAATTCATTAATTACCTTAATTATCTGAATTTTGGTATGTTCAATCTCAAAATCACAAGATACTTCCAGAATCTAAAGGTAAATGATTCTTCATGTTTTTATAAAAATCATGCATTATATTAAATCTATGTTATACTCCATCTGTTTCTTATTGGCAGAGAGGTTTCAGAGTTGTTAGGCTGATTACACAGCGGAGAAACAGACCTGATTATGCAGTAGATTGAATTTGGGCTCAATTGCAAAATTTTATACTGTTGCAAAAAATCCCAGATTAAAAGTATGTCATCTCCCTGACTCAAGATGATTACTGATAATATTGCTACTGTTAGGAGGACATAATGAAAAAACAGAAATTGCATTTGAACATGAAACTCATGCACGCAGACTATTTCTATCAAGGCCTGTTCATTGGCAGGTATGATCTTGGCAAAGTCTGTGATCTGGGTTTCTCTAAAGAATGAGATAAAAACTATTAAGCTTTATTTATCAGTAAAGAGGAATCATAAATTTTGGTATGAGAATGAGCTGCAGCAAATTTTAGAGTGATCTACTCCTGCTCCTGTAATTTCTTTTTTCTGTCTGTCATGAGGTATTTGTTCAATTTGCATTTTGATGTAAATTTACTTAATTTGAAGCTTTCAAATCAATGTGCAGCCTGTGAATATATATAATTGTATATATTAAAGAAAATTGTGCATGAAATGTCTATATTTTTCTGATGAACTGCACATGAATATATATGAAATTTGGAAATAAAAGAATGATAGTCTGATCCTATAAGGAATTTAATTCTAAAAAAAATAGGACCTGAAATGGAAGTGTCTTATTTTCTATCGAAAACTAGCAGCTTCCACTTTTGATATCAAATTAGTATCAAATGCAGAAGACTTTCCTGTGATCTCCAGCCTTGATTTTTTAAAAACATGTTATCTGGAATAAAACATTCTTTGAAAGTATTGTTTGGTCCCAATGCATTGCTAATTCCATAAAAATCATACCTCAGAATTGCGTGCATAATTGACAACCCTTCTGTAGTTATACAGTATGTGGGAAACACAGCTTCTATATCCATGTTGCTATATGAATGGCATCCACATCAAAAAGTAATCTTATAAGTATAGTATTAGCAACCATGTGGCATATGAAGTTGCAGAATAGTTCCGTTGACTGGAGTTCTGTTTTGTATACCACTGAATCTTGTCTCAACACAAGATCTATAAGAGTTAGTTTGAAATGAACTATGGACACGGGAATCAAAAATCTGCCAAGAATCAATACAAAATGTAAAAATTAATAGCAGTTGGACTTAAATCAATGCAAGGGCCAAATTTTATCCTTTGAAAAGTTCTGAGAATCCTTTGAAATCAGTATCTTATGCTTCCTTAAACCACGAAAATGGTTTTCTTCATCAGGACTCTATAGCCTGAAATTTGGAGGCATATTTAGTTACAAAAACACATTACTGACAACATAGTTCCCTATCATTTTTATTTCTCTTTAATTGATCTCCAAAGCTACTGTTTTAACTCTCTTTCCCTTCCCAAGCATTTTTCTCACATTGGTTGTTATCTGGGTCAGCAAATAAATCCAATGATCTGTCATTCAATGGAAAATGTCAGTGCTAATTTCTGACTCTTCATTTGATTTTGATTTTGAGCTCTCTGCATCACCTATTAATCACCTATCATTAATCACATAAAAGAAGGTCAATCAATCTTTATTGTCAAACATGTGTACAATGAGATTGGCTAGAAAATAGATTAGGATGTAAACTTCTGCCTGCTTTTTATAGATACTCCATATTCTATATTTATTGACTTTATTGAATTATTTCCTGATTAAAATAAGCTGAGATAATAGATCATTTTTATTATATCTTAATATGTTTTTAAAAATTGTTCTTCATTTTTATTCCAGTGAATATTGTAAGGAATAAATATACTTCCTTCTGATTATACACATATCTTTTATCTTGTGCTAGAAAAATATATTTCATTTGTGCTTATGGAGAAGGGAAGTGGCACATATGTTTTAAGGTTTATCGATTTTGATTTTGGTACTTTTAAAAAGGAAAGGAAAGGTAAGGAAAGGGGTGAAGGAAATAAAGACTAACAGATCTTGTAAATGAGATCATCATGTTTTCTGTTTTTAGATAGAAGCTTGTTACTCAATATAACTCTCCAGTGAGCAATGTGCTAGAAATTTCATTTTCATCTTTCTGGAACAGTAAAAAGGGACTTTTATCATATATATATAAGTCATCTTTTCTAAATCTTTGTGTGATTGCTTATTAAGAAGCAATTATTACTATGCTCAGTGGAATTTGCTCTTAAATTGGATTTAAGGAACTGCAGCCTTCTTTGTCCTTCCACCCAGTGTTTATTCATAGAGCTTTTCTATAACAGATTCTTGGTGTCTAAATATAAGGAAGGAGCAAGTGGTTTGATTAATATCAGTGGGATTCATATAGCTGTTTGAGAAAACTTCAATTTCCAAAATGACCATTTTCTTAGTTTTGCTTCTCCCGTTTTACTAATTCTGATGCACATTTACTTTTGAGTAGACTCATTTGAATTTAATGCCCTCCCGCTGATTTGTTGATCTACAGGATTTCCTTCCTAAAATGTCATGTGGTGCTTGAAACATTTGAATCTGTTTTTCAAATATAGACTAATTAAACATTTTTTTTAATTGTTTGTTTTTGATAAGATAGTCTTATGAGGAAAAATGTAGGTTTACAGATAGTTTCTTAGTGGTTGAAGTTTATAAATACAGCTGTATGGGTGCCCCATTGTGAATTTATATTTTTAACAAACTTGATGTAATTGCTGCTATTAGGAAAGTTATTAAATGTTTTGTATTTTTAGATAAAACAAAAACAATCCATTTACTTTGAAAAAAGATATGTTTTCTTGTTTAGATATTTAACTAAGGCATTTCCTTTTCTTTCGCTCCCATGTGAGTGAAAATTTCATTGTGGCAGCAGCCATATTTATTTTCCCCAAACTTAAAAATCACTTCAAAACAACATTTTAGGGCCAAAAGTAATAATGCTATCACTCCTTCCCCTCCAAGGAATATTGCCTTACCCTCAAAATATAGGAAAAAGAAAATATCTAACATTTAAAAAGGGATCCTTCTCAATTAGGCTATGTCCTATGTTGCTTCTAGCTTTTCCTTCCATCTCCCTCTTGTAAAAACAGCTTTGTATTTCTGCTGAAAATAGGTTGTGATCACATGCCTATTGCAGAACTGTCTAAAGTATGCAAATTAAGCCAAATAGTGTGCTGTTTTTGCTCAGTATATTCTGATTTTTCTATTAGAGTACAGAAATAGAAATTCTCAAGGATATTGATGTTCCTTTGACTTCCAGAAATCTTTTTAGCTATGTCCTTGACACAGAAATTTCTGCATTATCAAACATCAATTTCCACTTTTGCTAAAGGGTGAAAACTTGCCTAAAAATAATGAAAATTGAGAGTGAGGTTTGCCTTCCAGCATTATATTCTGCTTACTTTGCGTAT